GGACTGGGGCCGCTTCTCAGTATCTCGCTCCTTCGTTTACTGCTTCCTCGCCTGCTCCGAGCGGCTGAGAAGTTTAGTTCCCCCACCTAGTTTGCTGCCTTTTCACATCTCTACCGGCAATCGTGCCTCGGCGTGAGAAGATCCCCCCTTAATTTACGTGGATGTCTGAGCCCAAATATGCTTCGTAGTGTTGAAGTTTCGTTACAGGTTTCTTCCTTCCTCCCCAGTATTTAAGATGTAGTTCTGGCAAAAACTTGTACTAGTTAAGCTTAGGACTATTAGAATGGGACGCTTACAGAGGAAATATTGGTAAAGTCAATGTAGTACTTGGAATAATCTACTTTTTGTTTATATATTTTTCCTGCTTTTATGAAGAGTAGTTGAAAGGGAAGAGAAGTGAGGGTAAAGTTTTTAGAGAAACTTTTGTTTCTGGCGTAGGTGCCAGATCTTATAGACCCTGTGCATTTGAGGAACTGGATATATATGTTAAAATACTGGGACTGCTCGTGTGTGTGTCGGTAGGATGAGACCTTGAAGAGCTGTCTGCGTGTATTTCAATGAGAATTACATTGGCTGCTTTCCAAAAGAAAATAAAAGACTATGTTATAATTCAGGTTATCCTCAGATTATGGTGGTATATCTACAGTGCAGACAAAGGTGTGATTAGATTGGCAAATGTGCATAGTTAGCTGTATCCTAGCTAGTTTAGCTCCAGGATTAGCCTGCCTTCCCCTCAACAGTAAACCCAATAATTCCATCAAATGCTTCATAAAGTAGCCCAAATTACCTTGTCTGTGTGAGTAGCAGATGTTTTTTTTTGGGTCACACCAGATAAACCCAAGGCAGGCGTGCTCCAAGTGGAACGCATTTCTGAATTTGCTATAGATAAAAGTGCCAGGTTAAATTTAGTCAATTCTTTCTCATTTTTATTCTCTGTCATCACCGGCACAAGCTACAATTCTGAAATCTCTCACATCTCCAACGTGCTAGTAACTAAACGCTGCTGGCACTGCCTGATTGTATATGTAAACACCGTGCTTGGGTTTTAGCATTGTTTTTCTCCCTCCTTTGCTGATAGCACTACTTTGTTGATAGCCCAGTATTAACAAAACAAACGCCAGCCCGAAGCAATCGTTGTAGCACGTTATCGTTAAGTTGTTGCGACAAGAAACTAAAGCTTAAACTTCCAAAGAGCAGCGATCAAAAGAATAAATTAACTGTAACAGAACATGAGCCTACGTTGCAAATATTTATTTGTAGAGCTAAGAAAAACATAAATTAGACCTTTTAGCTTTTGAAACAGTAAACTGAGTTGTTTTGTGGCTTATTTGTATTACTCGTTTTGTTCTTCTGGTATCTCTTGCTTAGATGTGGATTTAATAGAAACCCTGATGGACCATTAGGCATTTACTTACATAAAATGTTATTTAATCAATGCTTTTTGGGTGGCTTGTAGTTTGGGGTTTTTTTTTCAGGGCAGGCAAAAATTGCTGCAGGAGACTTAAGTTTGAGGGGGGAGGAAGTGAAGAGGAATAGACTTCCCTTTTAATAAAAACCTCTCTTGGGAGAGTAGAACATTAGCTTTTCTTACACGTGACTCCAGGTTAGAAGATAGACAAATACAAATTGAAAACTTGCCTAAATACAAAATGCTTTTGTTAAAGAACAAATTCCAAAGTTTTGAGTAGTTTTGCTGGAGTTCAGTGCCTCCCGGGTAGTGATTTAGAAAGGCAGCACAACATATGTATGTATGTGTGTATATATTGAATAGAATTTTACATGCACAACAGTACTTGGAGTTGCCTTCCTGGTAGCTCTTGGAGTGACATCTGTTTCCTTGTCCTAGAAGCCTGTACTTCCTTCTGATATTCTTTTAGTCAGGATCTGATTTTCAAAGCTGTATGCACAGTTATGTGTATAGAACTGGCTGCACAGAGAGAAATAGGTGTGTTGACATTCAGTGTTGCCACACCTAACTTTCAGGCAATTACTCCCAGAATTTTTGGGATGGGAAAGCCATTTACTCGAGGAACAAGAATTTTCTCTGGCTAGGTATTTGTCTGGGCTTGTAGTGTAGCTATTATGCATTGTGTATTTTCTAGATAGAAATTAGTAATGCACTGATGAATTAAAAGGCTGAAATTAAAGGTATTTTGCTGAGAAAAACACAGGCGAAATAACTAATAAATGCCCTAGAAAATAATCTAAAAATGATCTTATTAAATGGAAATAATGGAAGACGATGTTTCACTGTGATTGGGTCAGTTCCTGGTGGTAGTAGATATTTGGCACAAATGATGAGAGGAAAAGATTAATGAGTGGGGGCGGGGGGAATTCGTAGTAATGCAAACTTTACTTTTTTCATTTTTGTGCAATAGTCTCTGAATCCTAGTGGGAATAGTGACATTATCTGTAAACTTCTAGATTGTTGCTTTTTGGCAACCTTTTCCCATGGACTTCCTTGGAAAAAGTCTGGGCTTTTACCATCAAAGCTAGATAATACAGAAAGATTTAGTAGATTGATTATGATTTTAAGAAGTCAAACTTAGGTTTTTTTAAGAGAGGTGAGGAAAGCATATTATTCTACTGAGAGCTGTACTGACAAATAAGTCTGGGGTTTTTAAGATGAAATTTGCTTTAGAAAGCATAGTCTAGTAAATGCAAATACTACAGTATGTTAAAAAAACCCCACAAAGATGCAGCCATTCTTAAATGTCACAAATGTTCTGCTGATTCTGTATGTCTGTATGCTGAAGAACTTACTACAACCGTATTGTCTCAGACATAAGTTCTTTAGAGTAAGGCATAAATAATTCAGAGTAAATCAGGCCATAACATTTGATTACCAAACTAATTTATTTTGGTATAATTAAGTCTTGGTTTTCATTTACAGTTTTAGGTTGGTTCTGAATTCTTTTTCTGAAGTTGGCAGGGGGTATCTGGTTGTCATATTTACAATGAGAAATGGCATACTAAGGCTGTTTATGTAACACAGGATTTAATCAGTGCACCCTTGCAGTATGTGCTTGCTCCCATTTGTTTATTATAAAAACCTTGCAGCCTTAATTTACAGTTTAAACCTTTATAAAATTGTGATCCATGAGGCAGAAATAAACCAAATGTTATCCTAGAGGATTTTTTACTCTTGGTGTGTATATACAAGGGGTGAAAAAGCTAGAAAGAGCTGTGAGTTTTTCAGTGGCTTATAGGAGGTACAGTAGTTTGATACCTTTTAAAAACTGTCAACATCATTTTTTACAATTGATTGACTAAGCGAGTTCATGGATCTAACATCACACTTGAAATAGTAATTCAGATAAGTTATTTTGGTGGTAGAAGAAACCAAAACCCCTTCACTTTCATAGATAATTTGTTCAGATTAAATGAGAGAGGGACTGTTACCTAATGCTGTGTTTCCCATTCTCCTTGTACTTTTTATCTTTGCCTGTTTCTTGCCAACTCCAAGAATTTTGTGTGTCAAAAGGATAAAATGTGCAATCAGGGAAACAAATTATTTCTTTCCTAATGTCTGTCTTCTCTGATCATCTGGATTTAACACTTAACTAGAAAGCCATGCTTCTTTTTTTGCGTTGCCATTTTAGATTTTTGATTTAGAAATTAAAACGTAATCTTGATGGATAGAACTGTGGTATTTTTATTAATGTACAATTTGTGTTCTCATTCCTTTTAATTTAAAAGAAATGGCTGCAAGCAAATGACCTTCAGAAAGAAGTATACCAGCATCTGGCCTATTATGTACCAAAAATTTACTGCAGGGGTCCTAACCCTGCCCCACAAAGAGAAGACATGCTGGCACAACACGTTTTGCTGGGACCAATGGAATGGTATCTTTGTGGTGAAGATCCTGCATTTGGTTTTCCAAAACTTGAGCAAGCGAACAAACCTTCCCATCTCTGTGGCCGTGTTTTTAAAGTGGGAGAGCCTACATATTCTTGCAGGTAGTTCAACTTCGCATTGTGAAATATTTATAATTTGTGAAGTTATGGAACATTTTTCAACAAGAGTATACTGTCCTAATGAAAAGATAATACTCTTAATGTATTTTTAAAGTAACCTTGCAGTTTTTCATGACAGGTGGGATCAAGGGAAAATTAACACACTACAGGTTTGTAAACAGAAAAATATTAATTAGTACTACGTAGAGTGTTTTCTGTGTAAAGAAATGCAAGCTTAAAGAAAGTGGTTGGGGTGAACTGTCAGTGTGATTTAAGGGCATTAATCAGAAGTAAGTGGGCCGGTATATGTGTGCATAATTCAGGTGTTTAATATCAGCTGTTACTGTTGATCCTATATTTTAGACCTCTTTCCATGACCTATTAAACCAATCTATTGGATGCTAAAACAGGCATACCAGCTTCTTGTTCCTTCCCTACCTCTATCTATAGATCTCGAAAACCATCATTTTACTTGAAACAATACAGGAAGTTACTAACCAATTCCAAGTATTTTAAAAATCTTCAGTTTTAAGCTAGTGTGTTACTAGCTATATATCTATTATATTTTCTTTCCTGTATCGTCTGTAGTTTTAGTTTGTACCTTCCCTGTCACAGGTTCCTGTTACCTTGTATGGTTTCTACCACTATTTTGGACACTTGAATGCTTGGTGGAGTGATGGGGGGAGGGAACGTCTGTCTTATTTAAAGGGTTTATTTTTCTGGGTTTCCATCCCCTTTATTTACAAGGAGAGAATGATCATAGAAGAATTTTGCTTAGAAACTGGCCTTATTCACTGAAGTTCTGATTCAGGGTGGACTTGAGATACTTAACTCAGCAAGCTGCCTCTTCTGCATTTCTATTTCAACAATCAGTTAGAATAGATAGTTTTGGAAATGTTTTGAGACCTCTTATATTGAGATGGATGAGATTAAACTGGTGGGTACTTTAGATCCTTTCAACCACTAAGAAAACTCCATCTCCTCTCAGGTGTTCTTAGGTTCTTCCTTTAGATATCTGGGTAGAGAATTAGAGAGGGGGAGGCTGAGGACCATCAGAGGCTATGAAAAGAATTTCCACAGTTTCTGTAGTACCTTTTCATGAAATCTGGTCCAAAAGAACTAAAAAATCAAACCTCAAAACGAGTGTTTTAATTCAAGTGAAATTGCATTGCAGCCTAGAAGTAATATGTTAATGATGAAATGGTCTTCATATGGACTAATGAAAACTGTAGGAGTTCTATTAATTTCTTCTAAACAACAGCTTTTTCAAGACCAACAAGTCTATGTAAAATATATCCTGGAGAATGCTGTCAGTTATCATGAAAACAGAGTAATGCAGTCCATTAGTGCAGAACTTAGAGAATGAGTGAAGGTACTGTTCATACTCAGGGTCTTTGTTTCAGTAGAAAGATTTAAATACAGCAATATAATCATAATATCATTCAGGTTAGAAAGGATGTCTTGTCCAATCATCTGCTCAAGTCAGGGTCAGCAGTGTATACAGAATATTTTTGTTGTTGCTGCTATCAAGAGGGAGTCTTATCTTTTGATTAAGTACTGAATATAGATGTAAACCTGTTAGTGTTTCCTGTGGTGTGTTAATAATTTTCTTTGACTTACAGCTGGTAATGAATAATGAGAGTTTAATTTAAACTTTTTTGTGATACAGGAAAGAGTTGTTTTGAGTCTGTGCGATATGTTAAAAGCAGTTGCTTTTCTGTCCATGTGTGAAGTTTACAGGTCTGCCTCTGCTTTGGGTATAAGCACCCTTATTTGTTAGAGAAATTACTTGGCAAATGGTACTGAGTAAGTTTAGGGCTCTGAAGAATTGATACCCAGTATTGTCGAGCTAATATACCTGATACTGTACGCATATTGTTGCAATAAATGTTTTTGATATTTTTATTTAAAAAAAAAATTAAAGCAGAAGAGCTTTATATAACTCTGCTTTGACGTTTTCACCTTTAATGGCTCCTCTGGAGAAAACACTATGCATAAAATACCATTTGCACATTTAAGTCATGGTTGCCTGATTATCTTTTGGTGATTACCTGGTTTAATTTATTTGGTGAAATGAAATTAAGAGAATTCTTGATAATAACATTTATAAATATACCAGGATCTCTGGTATTTTCTTTTGAACAAAGTCAGTCGTTTCTCTAAATTCTTGTTTTAATAATAACAGTCATGAGACATCTGTTGTCTTGATAGACATTTTTACTTTGCAAAACCCGACTCCCTTAATCTTGAGGTGCCTTGAAGTCAGTTGCATTGCATAGGTTCATGTATTTTTAGTGTTTCTCAGGGAGACAGTTAAATGTAATGCATAATTGTCTCATTCATTTGTTTAGCCCATTTTGCTAGAAACATATCTATCTAATATAGCAGTGCTTGTAGACAGGACCTTATTATGGTCTCTGATCTCCTGGTTGAGGAAATTGCATTCTTGGACCTCTTCAGTGAGCTTGCAGGGCTAAACTTAGAAGCAGAGGTTTGATCTAATCTGTTGCATGCTATCTTTCGTTCCAGTGTTCAGTGAAAAAATATCTTCTCTGGAGATTGTTAGTGCTTGTACTCTGTACTTGAGAGAACTTGCTTGAGCTTATACTGTTTACCTGTCTGTGCTGTGTTCTATTTACTTGCTGATATGCTTGTGTCACCTCTTGAAGGCAGTGGCTATATTGCCCAAATATACATACTACCCAGACAATATTTTAAAGTCTCTTCTTTCATGAGAACAGATTTTTTTTCTCCTTCATTTGTTCCCTGCCCCCTGCTCCCACTCACCCCCTCCGGCAGCCATCCCTTTCCTTTTTCAGAATAATGTTTACATTTACCGAGAAGGTTCATATTGGTGATATTTGAAAATTACCTATTATAAAATGTGTCATTAAAGGCCAAACCATTTGTTTAATGCTGCTTTTCTTTCTTCTCCTGTACTTTTTGATGTTTTCAGAGACTGTGCAGTTGACCCAACTTGTGTGTTATGCATGGAGTGTTTTCTTGGAAGTATTCATAGAGAGCACCGATACAGGGTTAGTAATACTGCTGGAATATATGATGTAGTCATTAATAATTTTGTATGTGTATGAAACTCCTTGTTTAAGGTTTAAGAATGTATACATAATTTCAAAATGTTGGATGAACACAACGTTTGGAATTATGTCATAGAATCGTTTAGATTGGAAAAGACCATTAAGATCATTGAAGTCTAACCACTAACCTGACACTGCCAAGTCCGCAATAATCTTACAAGAACTTGAGTGTTTTGGTCTGAGTGTAAATTCTGAAAGTTAACACTTTAAAACATCAAGCAATTAAATTTTATGCACAACAGTTAAGCTTACAAATGTACGTTATTTTTAACATGTGCCCTTTAGTGAATTTTACAGCATTAAGAGTTTTTGACCTGCTTTGACCTTGATGTTTGACTATTTTTAAAATGTATTGAAAAAACTTTACTAACTTTACACTTTTATTTAAAAACTTATTTCCTTTAAACATCTAAATTGTTAACAAATTCTGTACAATAGCAGGAATTTCGTTTGCTTTTAAACATAAAATTAAAATAGAAAACTAAAACTGTAGATGCTGTTTATTTTAGTAACATACTGCTATTAGTAGTACAGATGAGTTAAAAAAAAAACCAACCCTACAAACAAACCCAAGAAGACCTCGGTGTGTTTTTATACTAAGAAGCTAAGTGAGAACTACCAGTGCAGCCTTTCTGTAAATCTGTTTTTGACAACACTGCACTGCTGTTAATGTAAATCTGATCACTGCATGGTTATACTGAGCATGAGGATTTAGGAAAAACACACACACACCAACTTGCTCCAAGAAACCCAACCATATTTGCTGATATTGGCATACTCTTTGTATGTAGGATTTTAGTTTGCGAGCTTAATAAATTAACAAGTCTATGTGACATCCAAAAGTGTAAGCACATGTTCTTTCAAATGTCCATCTAATTTTGTCGATACTGTAGGATGTACCTGTATGTACAGAATGTACCTGTATGCCAAAAATAGATGAAAGAAGAATTCTTCTGTGAATCAATTAATAGTTATGGTTCAAAAAAGGTATTATTACACTTACTAATTTGAGGTGGTCTTAGCTTTAAAATCAGTTTTATTAAAACAGTGTAAATATATCATTACAGTTTTCAGATACTTTTTTCTGTGCTTACTAAGACTTCTGTGAACAATTTGTAAGTTTTTTCTGTAAACTCCTGTTGCTGTAAGCAGCACATCTTTTACTCGCTGTGTAACAACGCTATGTGAAACGATTTAGCTTTGTTCAGATTAGAAGTGATAGAATCTGAAATAGTACAGATGGCATTGCAAGTAATAGATTCAGAAAAACGGAAAACCAGGAAAAACCTACAGCCTTCAGGTGGAGCAGAATGGGAGTGTTCAAAGTTTACTTTTGTTTTGGGGGATTTTTTTTCTTTTGGTATAAGCAGACTGATGAAATAGATAAGCTTTCAGCCATCATAGAAGCAAACGTGATTTCAATGTGCTATTGTAACAGGGTACTGGCTACAGCTATCAGGTGTTGTGATTGTGCTCTTGTAGTTTAGCTGTGATTGCTCATTTTTTAATGTGCAAGTATGTATATGTATATTCACATGAACTGTTTTGGTTTTAAATAATTTTAGATGACAACGTCAGGTGGAGGAGGTTTTTGTGACTGTGGTGATACAGAAGCTTGGAAAGAAGGTCCTTACTGTCAAAAGCATGAACTTAACACTTCAGAGACAGCAGAAGAAGAGGTAATAACAATTGAGGCATCACGTTTCAAAACATTAACTCTGTGTGTGTATATAAATCATTCATATGAGGTTATTTTTAGTCTTGTATACCATGCATGAGAGATGGGAGGAAATTTAATAGTAGTATTTGAACCACACTATGTGTTAGACAAAATTAATGTCTTGTCTAACTTAAGAAGTTATTTAGAATGGCGTTTTCTACTTGAAGGCTTTATTTTCTATGTTCTTTGTCACCTTTGCAGCTTTAGTTCTGTTTCTTTGTTTTTCTGTCTTATTCTGAAAGGTGAATGGAGTCTGCCATGTGGAGGAAAAAAAAAATATATTGTATATAATCATGTACATGAAGAAGCCAAATTAAGCTGTCTGTGCAACATATGTTCTGATTCTTACCAAAGTAAAGTGCACATATTTTTTAAATCAAAATAACTTGCTGTTACAGGAAAGCTGTAATGGAGATATAAGATAGAAGTCTATAAAAGCTTGTTTGGTATGGAGAAGGTAAATAGACAACATATCTTCACCATTTCTTATAGTGTAACAACTTGGACATATTAAATGCAAAAAGATGTGCTACTTCTTACGCTGTTGTCCTGGTTTCAGCTGAGATAGAGTTAATTTTCTTCCTTGTAGCTGGTATAGCGCTGTATTTTGGATTTAGGATGAGAATAATGTTGATGCAACAACTGAAAACTTTAGTGTGTTAAAGCGGTCAGGGACTTTTCAGCTTCTCATACTGCCCTGCCAATGAGAAGGCAGGGGGGCACTCAAGAAGCTGTGAGGGGCCACAGCCAGGACAGCTGACCCAAACTGGCCAACAGGATATTCCATACTGTATGACATCATGCCCACTATATAACTGGGGGGTGGGCCAGGAGGCAATCTGGCTCAAGAACTAGTTAAGCATTAGCTTTGGTTGGTGAGCAATTGTGCTGTGCATCACTTGTTGTGTATATTCTTTATCATTATTATGATTATTATTGTCTTCCTTTTCTGTCCTATTAAACTGTCTTTATCTCAATCCGCAAGTTTTATCTTTTTTCCTTTTTGATTCTCTCCCCCATTCCACTTGGCGGGGGAGGGAAGTGAGTGAATGGCTGTGTGATTGTTTTAGCTGCCTGCTGGATTAAACCATGACAAGTATAAATTCAAGCTGTTGGACTAACCGCTACAAAACACCATTGTTAAATTTCCTTTTGAACATATGTAAACTTTTAACATGTTTGTGGAGGGGAAAAATAGTCAATGGCCATTTAAAATTGCAGATACCATCTTTGGTGAGGGAAGTATTAGTGTCTTAAGTTACTGGAGATGAGAGGAGCATTCTGTCCTTTTCTTAAACTCTTCCCTTAGTATCTGTTACTGTATCTCAGGAATGATAGTGGCTAGTTGGGCTTCTGGTCTAGCCACTTGTGTCTGTTCTTATGTAATAGAATTTCTGTGAGAATTTTTTAATGGGAAAATATAGGGCAAATTTCTGTAGTAATTTTGCTGGTCTGATGGTTTAAGTGCAGCAAATGTAACTGTATTTGCAGTGACAGTGGTCCTTCTAAAATCTGTTCTCGCTATCTCAACACTAAGACTAGCACTGCTGCATGGACTCACCGCTTGATCTGCATGCCAGTTTACATTAGTCAGCAGCCTTAGAAAACTCTTGTTCTGAACTCTGGGGTGGACTGCTACTTCTGTGTCCAAAGATACTCACACAGTGAGTGTGACTGACAGAAAAATTAAGGTGCTGAGCAGGCTTTGTGTTTCTTCCCTGTGAGTGATGAGGATTGAGATCTCTTATGTTATGCAACGTTGTGTTCGAGGTAGATCAAGGATCATTTGTTGAGCACTATTGGAGCCTGTTTTCTGCCTTGCCTTGATAGATGGCTTTGAAAGTGCTGGGAATGGAGGCAGCGTTGTTGCTTAAGGTTTGCCTTTGCTTTTGGTGACTGATAATTCTCCATACCCTATGTAAGTTTTAAATGAAGCAAAAAACAAGAAGTAGCAGTTATTAACAGTCCTGTAAAGCTTCCAGATATTCCCAAAGAATCTTGGGGGACGTGTGTGGATAAACTTAACTAGGACAGGTGAATTGCTGACCGTCAAGGACATCCTGTAGATAATGCAGATTTAAGTTCTGAAAAGATTATTGTGGCCAATTTTATACAACATAAACTATAGTGAAACACAGAATTTAGTATTAGGTAATCCTAAACCAGAAATTGGGCTACTGCTAAAGATTTTAGTAGGTTAACAATTACACATACTTCAAAATATCAAATGATGAATTGAGTCAGTGACCCAATGTATAGTACACGTCCAGGTGACCTGCAGGGCATGCACTGTTCCCTTTCCAGCTTTATAGAAAAGGGACCAGTTGTTCTGAAAATAAAAATTTGAAATAGGAGAAGAGTCCTTTCAGAGAACAGGTTTTTAATGTTTTCTATTCACACACAAATCTCTTGAAATGGATTGGAAGGAAATGGCAGTGGTACCTGTACTACCTGATTCAGAGTTGGCAGTGGTTCTCATTTGCTGCTCCAAAAAGTAGTCCCTTTGACTTTGCAGACCGAGGCAATGCTCCTGTTCCTCCCCTACCTGCAGCAGCAGCCATTCTGCTCTGGCAGAGAGAAGAGGATGAGTTTATAGTGGTTGCTGCAGATGTCAAATGGAGGGCATCCTGGAGAGTGGGCACAAGTGGGTGCATGGTCCACATACAAAAGGGTAACAGCTGTCTGTGAACAAGACTGAGACATGGGCAGATCATTATGAAATACCTAGTTACATTTAAGCATTTAATTATTTATATACCACAGCATGTAAGAAATGCGCATCATAAGTCATGATCCCTGTGTGCTGCGTGTTGTATAAGCTTGGATTGATAAGACTTCCGCCTCTAAATGCATGCTACGTATAAAACAAGGCAATAGAAGTGTAGTTGTTTGTATTCTACAGTTTGCTAATATTGGTAAGTGGAACAAAAGATAGTGATTTTAAATTATGTTTTTGAAGGCATCACAGAAAAAGCAGGTTTTAATACATCTCTGGTTAAAAGTTCTTCAGAAGAGTTATCTTAGAAGGTGTGTAGGAGTGGGAACAACGACAGTGAAAATGAACAAGTGTGTGAAAATTTAAGTGGGTGATCAGAGGCAAATTAACATTTAGGTATTGAATGTTACGTTACTGCTTTGGTGATTGTCAGTGAAGAACTGGAAAAAGAAAACAGGATGATTATTAACTCTCTTCCTTTCAAATGTCAAGTCTTTTAAAGAAAGACATCACTAAAGATGCTTACATCATCTTTGACAAAGAGAGAATTTGACAATTTCTGTTTTGAATGTCATTTGGTTTCTCAATTGTTTTTTATATTTATTTTCCAGGATCCTCTTGTGCACTTACCAGAAGATATGGTAGCAAGAGCTTATAATATTTTTGCCATCACATTTAAATATGCAGTAGATATATTAACATGGGAAAAAGAAAATGAATTGCCTGGCCTAGAAATGATGTAAGTGTAGTATTTGTCTTCTACCTTTTAAAGACTTGCAGATATTTACAATAGAAAATGCAAATTCTGATTTTAAGTACATTTTCAGCCTTTTGTAAAATTGTCAGGAATATTTTGTAGACAATAGACTAAAATAATTGTAATAGTTTTGTTTTTCTCATGTTTTTTACTTTTGTGATTATACATCTAATCTCTCCAAACTTCTTTTACTTTGTGTAAGAATGCTGTGTAAACTAGAAGTTGATTTTTTAAAATTATATAACTTTGAATTATATAAATTCAATCCTTACTTTGAAGTGAGAAGAGTGACACTTACTACTGCATGCTGTTTAATGATGAAGTCCATACCTATGAACAAGTTATTTATACTCTTCAGAAGGCTGTCAACTGCACACAGAAGGAAGCTATTGGTTTTGCAACAACCGTAGATAGAGATGTAAGTAAATTAATTTACTTACAACTTGTAATTATACTTACGCTAATGTTTATGTTATATGACTACACTTGCTTTAGTTTGTTTTCCCAAAGAGTGTGGTTAATGTGATTGAGCTCTCTGTGTCAGGCCACCCTAAAATGTCTGAATCCATTGGCCCATCCAAACCAGACCTTATATTGAGCATATTTTTCAGTGTAATTGTATTCCAGTAAGTCATGTGAGCGTAGATAGAGTGTCTCTCCTCTGTCAAGGACAGGCAGCAGCTTTAACTCATCCCTTACTGTACACCTGGGAGCTGACATTGAAAGAGCCCCTGTATGTGCTCCAAATGTGGGAAATGCTTCTCAGAGTAACACCAGTCAACTGTGAGGGATAAAATCCATAATTGACTGCTTTTGTTCCGGTGCTCATGGAACTATTTGTGGTTTTTTTAAATTTAATTTTCTTTTTCAGAATTGTCAGATGATAATGGCAGGGAGAGGTAAAGCGTTTCATACAGCATTTAGAAAGAACAATGAGTTCAGAATCACTACATGCTGAATATAATCATAACTAGTGTGTCAGTCTCAGAAGCACTCTACCAGCTGTGTTTGTATTCTGGATTATGTGCATTTTTAAAGAAAGGGACACTTTGCAGGGACCGCTGCATCTTGTTATTTGAGCCTGTAAGGAGTTGCTGTGAAAAGGAGTGTCCTTTTCTGTCTCCTGCCTTTTTTTGCAGGGGTGGTATTGGGGAGGTAAGTCTCTTCCAAAATGACAATGAGACTGTTGCTTTGGGTTATTAAAGTACTTTAAGAAGGTCAGCGGAAAAGGAAATACAGCCACTTGATATTACTTAACACTGAACTAGATTTTGGTTTTGTATTATCACTATTCTATTTTCGTGATATCAGTAGCGAAAAGATTCTCATCTGATCCATGACTTGAGCACATGCTGTGTATTGTAGGATGCACTTTGGTGATACTTCCCCACTTTTGATCCCTGTCCTACATCTAAATAGATACTTGAATGCACATATACACGTGCATATGTGTATGTATGTAAAAGAAATGAGAATGTGATGCCTGAAACCATGATTTGGCATCAGACCAGATCTAAAATCTCAGTAAGCTATTCTGTCTATAATACACTATAAATTCAATCAACCATGTATTTGAATGTATGTATTGACAGTATAGAAAGCCTCATACAATACAGAGACCTTCCAGTTTTGAAATAAACCAAGTGTATGTTTAAAAGACCAATTGACTTTCACACCTACTTTTAAAAAGGCATTGAAATGCCTGAAATATCTTTAAATTCTACCAAAAATAATGATTGATGCATTAGTACTAAAGATAAGTTTTTGGTGTTTTAAATAAAAAAAGTGTGATGGTTACATCTTAAAAACAGTATTATATATAGGAAATTTAGTATAGCAGGTAACTGCATATGTGGTGTAATTTTTTTTTTTTAACGAGAACAGGGTGCATTTTGGGAATTCAAGTATGTAACTATATACAATAATTTAAAACATGAAAATAGCATGAAAGCATGAATGGTTAACGTGCATGTGAAACTTTTACTGTATCTTTTATACTAATGGAAAACACAGCATTTGAACTTCTTGTTTAGAAGCTGGTAGTAACCTTACTTCTTTCCAAATTTAAAGGGACGTAGGTCTGTTCGATATGGAGACTTTCAGTACTGTGATCAAGCAAAATCAGTAATAGTGGTAAGTAATATTACCTACTTATTTCTCTCATCTTAAGCAAAAAGAGGCTTTGTTACACATTGTTACCGTAATGACTCTTTGTATTTTAATAATATGAAGTGTTGGAAATACTATTTATATTATGCACAGTAGAGGTGTCAAAATACAGGTTTATGTTCTGGTTTTGTTTTCTCTACTATGGTCTACTTTGCACCTAAAATCACTTCCTCAAAAGTTCCCAGACAACTTTTCCCTTGAGAAAGCAGAGTTTGATCACGAACTTCAGATGTAATCTTTTAGAATTGCATGTCAGCTTGGATCAGTGAAGTTAAACTATTTTAGTTTTTCTCCTATAGTATGAAGTTGTTTGCCTCTTTCACAGCCACAACTATGGAAATTGTTACTGATTGAATCCAAGTGTGAAATTACAAATACACTTTCATTTTGCGTGTGTGTATTTATATGTGTATATATATTCATAATGTCTCTATATTACAGGGTTCTTCCATTTGAGAACATGGGAATATTTTCTATTTAATTTTCCTTTAACTGCTGCAGTGCAGTACTTAATCATATGAAATAGTTTATCTAGAATACTGCTACCACTGAAAAACAAATACTGCAACTAGAGTTACTGGCCTTAAACTGTTTAAGGTGTTTTCAAAACATTAACATATCTTTAAAGATAAAGTTGTGCAATATTTTTAACTTGCCACCTGTGCAGTCAAAGAGGAAATTAAGGTTACTAACACGGAGATGAGGGCAAATAGAAATACTTTTTCTTATTTTAACTGTCTGTGTTTAATTTGTATTCTTGAAAATATTCTGTGGACAATCAGTTTCTTTCCTTATTGGGCTGCTGCGTGACACACATACCATGTTGTGAGGAACAAATATGCATGGCTGTCTTAGGTTGTGTGTGGGACTGCTTATCAGTAAAATGCAGCAGATCAGTGTGTACATTGATAAGAGGCCAAGAGTGGAAAATGGATTGGCCTAAATATGTTGCATAATAAGGTCCTTCAGATATATAGGGTAAACAAAGTTCAGACTTTTTTTGTTTTGTTTCTTCCTTATGTAGGTGTTAGTAATTAGAATATGTATTAATAGTATAAATTATTGAAATTAATCATAGGAATGCTGTGTTTCTGTACAGAAATAATACTGATCCTTACTTAAATATGCATTACCTACTTTTTGCTTTTCTTTTTAAGAGAAATACCAGTCGTCAGACAAAGCCACTGAAAGTACAAGTTATGCATTCATCTATTGTTGCCCATCAGAGCTTTGGTCTGAAGCTCCTAACTTGGCTTGGCAGTGTTATTGGATATTCAGGTGGGCAAACTTGATTTTTTTTTGGGGTTAAGTTAGAGAATATTTGTGAGGCAAGCTGAATTCCTGAAGCAATGTTGTCTACTTATTTCAGATATGTAATACATGTGGCAAAGCTATTAATATGTCAGACTCATTCTTTTTTCTCTTACTGAAGTGCTGTTTTGAGTTCTAACTTCCATATGAAAGACCCCACCTGAAGTACTGTGTTCAGCTCTGGGGCCACCCAGGTAAGAAGTTCATGGAGCTGTTGGAGCCAGTCCAGAGGAGGCCATGAAGATGAGCAGAGGGCTGGAGCACCTCTCCTATGAGGACAGGCTGAGAGAGTTGGGGTTGTTCAGCCTGGAGAAGAGAAGGCTCTGGGGAGACCTTATAGCAGCCTTCCAGTGCCTAAAGGGGCCTACAGGAAAGCTGAAGAGGGACTGTTTACAAGGGTGTGTAGTGACAGGACAAGGGGTAATGGTTTTAAACTGATGGAGGGGAGATATAGATTAGATATTAGGAAGAAATTCTTCACTGTGAGGGTGGTGAGGCACTGGAACAGGTTGCCCAGAAAAGTTGTGGATGCCCGCTCCCTGGAAGTGCTCAAGGCCGGGTTGGATGGGGCTTTGGGCAATGTGGTCTAGTGAAGGGTGTCCCTGCCCATGGTGAGGGCATTGGAACTAGATCTTTAAGGTTGCTTCCTACCCAAATCATTCTGTGATTCTGTGAAAGTGTTGCCTGTCTTAAGTAGTCCTCTCAGATACTGTTTTCTATTTAGTTGCTGTTGAACGGAGGCTGAGAATCACTGTCAAATCCTGTATGTCAACAAGCTATTTTTCAGTCCCTAGTTCTTTTTAAATGAATGCAGTAAGCTGAAAATAACCTGTCTGATTAGATAAAATGAAATTATTCAGAAGTAATTTGATGAATGATGATGAAAGTGATTGCTTCAGGTTTTTTGCTAAGTAAAACAGAGAAAATGCAAGGATGCATGGAGGTTTTTGGGTAAGTATAGGAGCCAACTAAGTATTAATCAGATATTTAGAAAGAAGTTTCTTCAAAGGAATCAAGATGCACACTATCATTTTTATGGGAAGGCTTTGTCTTTGTTTTGGCTTGGTTCCTCCTTTGTCCTGATCAATCGTAAGGTTGAGAAGATGCAGAGCATGAGGGGAAATAAAAGGAAAATGTGTCAAACTGCTGATATGTAGAAATGTAGTTACAGTCTCCGATGCATTCTGTGTTCTAGGTGTCTGTAAATGTTGACAAGAATTATTAGCAAAGCACGTTCAGCTGTAATATTGCATATATGTTCTGTGTAGGTGCAAAGTTTCTTCGGAGATTGTATGTTTTATTAGACTGATAGTTGAAAAACTAGCCAAGATTTCAGGCACAGGATGTCTATATCATGTTGAAACATATATCGTGTGAGATATATATATGTATATGAGATATAGATACATCATGAAAGATAAGTAGTTCATGTTTGTATAAGTTAACTTTTAAAGATACATAAATCAAACTTTTCAAAAGTTACGGTAGCAGTTTGTTCAACTATTTGCCAGTGTTCCTGGCAAATAATAGGTATTAATGGAAGGGAGAGACATGAAGATACTTAATTTCTGCGATAAATCTTCCTTTCAGTGTAACGTGTAGGCAGGCACTGTCTGTTTCATTGAGGCCAGCCAGTTTTGTGCCATAGTCACTTGTGCCAGATACTGAAGTCACTAATTTTCAGCACTAAATTACAGGTGCAAAAAAGTAACTTCAGTATGTTAATGGAGTATCAAAGTATAGATGGAAGTGTTGAATTTGAGTGTGTGGTGCTTCTGAAATTCTGCAGAGTTCACTTCATTAAATACAATGTCCTTTATGATTCAGAAGGGCAAAAATAGTGTTTGATGCTAAGCAGTATGCATACATTTTGGCTGTGACCTATGTGCTCAACTGCTTGAAATCCCTTACACACCTTGGGATGCAGTCTTGCAATGTACTTTGGAGTCTGGTTTTGTGAAAAAGTTGGTTTCCCTTAGCTTTTTAACAAACACACCCAAACATCTAGATTCTGCTCGATCTTTTAAACAGCCTGAGACTGTTCGTCTGTAATATGGGGTGATAGAATTGCACTGTTTAGGTGGTTACACTTAAATGCTCCTGACCAAAGGGAGACTGGCAGGTGGAGGGGTCTTCTGCTGTGCCACAGTTAGGTTGGCTGATTGCTGTGAAATGAGCATCAAACTCCTTATAAGGGAAAAACCTTACTCTGGAATTTTGCACAAGCTTGACTACCACAGCTTTTATAGCAAATGTCAGTACTTCAGGAGTAAGCATCTGTTTGCCACTTGTTGAACAATGCAGTAGTTTCCATTAATTTGTTACACTTCTTGACAGGAGTTGGAATTGAACTCTGCAAGGCAAAAAAACCCACCCCAAACTGCTATAGGGGTTCAGGGACTGTATAGAATTATGCCACACAGCACATGGTATGGTATACATGACACTAAGCCGCTGCCAGCTCTGCCTAAGAAGCTGAGACGGCTAAGCAGTGTGGAGAAATAAGGGCTAATGTGTTTAAATCATGTAGTTGTGTTAGTGAATATGCATTACTTGCGGTGGGAAGCTAGGTTGAACATTGTTAATATGAGCGTGTTCTGTTGCAGATGCAGGCTTGTCTGCAAGTGTATAATGACTTATTCATATAATGACAATTATTACTGCTTTCCATTAGGGGAAAAAAAAAAGCAGAGAAGCTTTAAAATAATAGCAGCTACTAAGTATAAACAAAAAACTCATATATGAATATGAGTCATTTCATATATGAATTATATTTTCCTTTTGATAGGACTCTAAACATGAAAAATATAACCTAGCCTGCTGTATAATTATTTCTTATGTTAGTAAGCCAGCAGCACTTTTTGATTTGATAACTTTGAAACAAATTGTTGTGTTTGGCGATTTTCACAAGGTTCCTAATGTTCCCTAAGGTTAGTGTGAAACTTGCAATGTATGAAATATTTGTGTTTCTATCAGCGAAATATGAGCAGTGTTACTCAGTTGTCAAGGAAAAGAGGGCCCTATGGCTTTTACCCTGGTTTATGAAAATTCCAGTATGTCAAAATAATGTACAAGTTTGTATTTAAGCTATAACTAACTCACATAATTTCTTTTCATCAAGATGGCCTTCGTCGAATATTGTGTCAAGTTGGTTTACAGGAGGGGCCAGATGGTGAAAATTCTTCTCTTGTGGATAAGTTGATGCTGTATGATTCTAAACTGTGGAAAGGTGAGTTTTCTCAAACTTCTGGAAAATACTGAACAATGCTATGTGTATAAGTTTTCCCTTTACCATATCTGCTAGTGTTTGATTATTTTTACTGTGGTGTATTTTAGATAAAATTGCCTGTTTTGTGATAATCTGTCTTTTTGTGATGCACTCGAAATGTAGTGAAGACAAGGACATAAGGAGACCATTTGGAGATGGGGTTGGTTTTAGATCTAATTTTTCAAAGTAGTCTGAAATTAAGCCTGTCTTGAATTGGCAGATGACAGTGATACTTAAGGGAACTTGCATAAGCAATAGAGTGATTTGGGGGTTGTCTGCTTTATAGGATCTCATCATATATGTCATATCTACCAAAATGCCTCTCTTTAAGGGACAGGGCAGAGGTTTTCTACTTTGACTTGTGTTTGTGTTCATGAGGTATTCTTAAGTGTTCTGAGAACATTCAGTGAAAACTACTGTTCTGCTTTTTAAGAGTCCTTAAAATTTTAAAAGCCTGATTGAGGTAATGGGATTGGTTAGAAAGTTGTAATGTTGAGGAAGTGGAGATAATTTCTTTGCTGTAATGGATTCTGTGTCTGATTTGATATCCTGAAAGGGCATGTAAGGCCAGGTGTAAGAAAGAGAAGCACATAGAAAAGGCAGAAAATGACGCAATATACCTGTCCTTACCTTATTTAAACATGAATACAGTATTTTGAAGATTGCTACCCTCCCCCCAGTATCTTTTGTTGTTCTTCAATTCTGAGGTACAGATATCCTAGAGAGTAGTAACACCTCTTTGTGGTCTGTCTTGGGAACTTCTGGGAGCAGCAAGGAAAGAAGTAAGGTGAAAAGTGGATGTAGCATAGAAAAAGTGATTTTTTTAGGTTTTATCTAATACCTTTGTCTTGTGTGAATGAATTCCTGGCACTCAGGCTTTATTTTTTTTGACTGCATATTTTATGATCTGAAAGGTAATACTTTTGTGGACCATTGTAGCATTTTTAATATAGGTTTTGTTAGGGTAATGTCTTTCATGTGATCAAGGAGTAACTTTTGCATTTCTGTTTCAACATGAATAAGTCTCTACTTATTAATTTATTCCATAGTTACTCTGTATTAAGGAAAAAATGTAATGGCTTTTGACTTAAGTGACCTACAGAAAGAAATGGTACATATTTGCATGTATTTCCAAGCTACTTACAGTCTATTCTCATTTGTATTGATGATATTCTCTGGGGTGCTGCTCAGACAGACTAGAAATCTAGAGATAACTAAGCTGATTATTTTGCAGTGTTATTCACAACTAACAAAATTTATTGTAGTTCCCAGGACTTCTCATAATAGCCTGCTCTTTTTTCCCTTGGGCCATCCAAATCCTCTGTTTATCATGAGTAGGAATAGAGTTCTGTTCTTGTTTGCCTGACTTGCTTTATATTTGAAGGTTTATGTTCCCATTTGACAGCTCAATGTTATTTTATGCAGGAGTAATAAATAATGCCACTTGAAGAATTTTGTTTTACGTATTCTTCGTCTTTTTCTACCACCTGGCAGACTTAATCAAAGCAGCTTCTGCTGTGAAATGCACACTTCCCTCATTCTGTGAAAGTTTACTTTTCTAAATGTTTCCATAATATGTTTATAGAAAATAGTGACATGCAATATTTCATTCATTTTTCTTGACAGGAGCTAGAAATGTGTATCACCAGTTATTCATGAGCAGTCTACTTATGGATTTGAAATACAAGAAACTTTTTGCTATCCGCTTTGCAAGAGTAAGTATCTTTCTTACAAAGAGCCATTAAATGCTAAACTGTCTAGCGAAGAGAGTTTAGTTAGCATAAAGTGCTTCAAATGAACTGTTATCCAGAATTTTTTTCCTTTTTTTTTTTTAAATGAAAAGTTGAAATGAAATGCTGACTACCTTATTTCTGTCTTCAAAATATTAGTTATAATGACATCTTATCTCCTGGGAAGAAAACGGGCTTTCCAGGCTCCCCAGAACTAAAGCAGTTCAGATGCTTTTTGTCTTCACCGTCAACTATGCAGGCTATCACTTCTTAAGAGCTAATCGCTTCTCATTGTTGAGGTGTAAGCTGTTACAGCACTACTCAGAAGTAGTGCTGAAGTTCAGTTATGCTGATTGGTATTTCTGCAGTAACTAGTATTTGAAATGCTTTAAATCAGCACTGCAAAACTCTGCTCAGTCTGCTGAAGACAAATAGAAAATAAAATATTAGCCTTTATTGTGAAAATGAGAGTGAGTAGATCTCATGTGTGAGCAGATTAAGTTGTCATGTTCTTTGTAGAAAATATCTATATAATAATCTGTAAAAGCTACTCTTCCCTTTATCATGGCATTAAAGTTTCCCAGAGCAGACATTTAAATAAAAAAAACCACAGGTCAGTGTGGATTAGAGGTGAATTTCCCCTTGTTGTTTAGAATTACCGGCAGTTGCAGAGAGATTATATGGAGGATGATCACGAACGGGCAGTATCGGTGGCTGCTCTGTCTGTCCAACTCTTCACTGTACCTACTCTGGTGAGTAGTGCCTGTCTTTCTTTTAAAAACTGATAGTTGGCACTCCTTGCCTTTTTTTGCCTCCTTCTTAATAGAACTATGAGCGATTGCAGAGTGATTTTATGAAAGATGACCACGACAGAGAGTTCTCAATTGCTGACCTCTCGATACAGATATTCACAGTGCCTTCTCTTGTAAGTACTAAAAGACCAAAAAAGGAAATCTTTATTTGTTAAAAGCAACTTGAGGTTCTTGAATCAAGGCTGCAGATTTCTTTTAACGTTACTGTGGAAATGCATGGCACTGCTGCTGCACAGCAGTCAGACTGTTTACATACATTGCTGTGGGTTTAGAAGTTAAAGCATTCAGCATTGCATAGTTTGAGTCTGACTTCCCAGAGTGGGCTGAGTATTTTTGGTTTTTCTTTTTACGTTTTTCTTGTACTTTTTTTTAGAAAGGTACTCAAATGTTTATTTAGAGACACAGACATAACATTTAAATTCTTCGTCATACTGAGCCACAGTTTCTGTTTGTAGAGATCTACATTATGGTTTGCATATCACAGATTCAGAGCATACCATTCTGGGGCAGTTTTATGAATGATCCACTTTACATTTAATTTTCCAATCAACACAAGTGCAAGCAAGAATTCTCATGTTGTTCCCTATTTCCTCTGGTACTTCTAGACTGGGACGATGTCTTCTTTCAGGTTTCCAGTTAATTTTTGATACAGTGCTTCAGGCACTGGAAGTACACTGTACTGGAAATAAAAGTCTGATTTTCATAGCCAGAATTGTTTAAAAAAATGAATGCTTCTGAATCCTTCCAAATGTAATCAACTTAATTGAGCTCTAAAATTCAATAGTAGCGTGGCAGTTATGATACTAAGCAAAGTTGTTTTTCAGTTTCCTAGGGCTGGATGTTAGTCATGGAAATTCAACAGGACCTCTGGATTTTGTTTCCATGGTTCAGGGCAATATTGTGTTACCTCTTTTAATGTTGATGCTGTCAATAAGAATGTTGCCAGTATTCAGATTTACAGTTAGACTTAACTAACTAGTACTATTCAAGTGGTTATGGTATTATTTTTCCCTTTGGCAGATGGTGTGGTAGACTATGTGTATTGCTACACTTTTTTTTTAAAGGAATTTCAAACAGTTCCTTAGAGGAGAATAATTGCAGTGTCCCTTTTGTATGTTTTCTATTTCAAAAGCCTGCAAAAAAAAGTAAACTGAATTGTTTTTAACTGTTTTGTAGAAGTATGGAATAGACATGACATGAAAGTAATTATGATAAACTCCTACCATATGAAGTAAGAATTACTTTTTGTATATTTAGAGCCCTTTGGACTTAATGAATAAGTTGAAGAATGAAAAATCACGCCATTGCTCCCCTGTAACATTTTCAAACTGATCTTAGCAATTTAAGAGTTTGAGCTCTGAAGTAACTGAGGTTGTTTTGTTTGATGGAGGTGTTGACGGTAATTTTTGGGGGGGGGGGAATATCAACCATTAGATTACTTTTTTCCCCCCTGCAGTAGCATTTTAGAAACTGTATTTTTGAGTATCAGTAGCAACCGTAGAACCCAGAAGCTCTAGTCAACAACCACAGTGTTACTGAGGTAGATTAGAGTAGCCAATCTTCTTGAATCTACCAGCTACATACTAAGATCCTCATGGGATCCAAGAACTGCAAGACTCATCCCATTTACTTGGGAGAACCAACAGAACAGGAGAGTTCTGGAAGAGCTCAGAAGTAGGAGATGGCAGTAACTTCTTAGTGCCCCTGGCTCTGTTGTGGGGTGGGGTTAGGTTACTTTGGGTGTGGAAGACGATCTTTGTCAGACTTTGCAATGCCTGTTGATTTGTTTCCTATAACACATGAATATATGCGGTAGCCCTTGAGGGGAATTATAAGTCATTTCACATAATTTCCATGTGGAAATTGCACTGTACGGTTCCTTAGCAATTCAGAAGATGTGCTGTTCACCACAGTGCTTGACGGTTTGTAAACAGAAAGCAGAAGACTTGTCACTCCCCTAAAGGGCTCATAATTAAATTACATGAGAGGAGACAACACATACTTAAAGGGAGGCCCAAGTTAATTATAAGACACATAATAACATGTGTCTTGTGTCATAATTATATAGGTTAGCAGGAGCCTAATCATAGTCAGACTTCTGTACAGAAAAGATCTGAAGAAAGAGATCTGGATTATGATAATTTCTGGCTAGTTTAC